TCGACATAAAGACTGAAACGCGCAAACATTGGTCGGCCAAAAAATCGTTTCTTTCAGTCAAAATTCATGTCACAAAAATCTTCTTATTTTTCTTTTGGTAGTTCAATTCATATATTAAAAGGAAAAAATGTTCGTTTATTCTTTTGGTTTGCCAATTCCGAACTGCCGTGCCTTCCGCTTAACCCCTTCCATTAAATTTTGCACAGTGGTCTCATCGACATTATTCACCGCCGAACGCCAGTTAGATTTAAACTGCTGCTCGTTTTCCATGGATTTATAGTTTTTTGAGATTCCGTTTGACCAAGGCCCAATACCGTTCGATAGAGTGGAGTTCTGGACTGTTGGGAGGGTTGTGGTCTTTGGGTACCACAACCACGTTGTTCGCATCGTACCACTCGATTGCCTTTTTCCCATAGTAGCAGCTCGCCAAGTCCTACCAGAACAGCACAGGTCTATTATGTTGCTTTAGGAATGGTAGCAGCCGCTTTTTCAGGCACTCCTGGACGTAGATCTCTTGATTGATGTTTCCCGTAGTAATGAAAATGTCGCTTTGTAGACCACACGTGCATATGGCCTGCCATACGAGATATTTTTTCGGGAACTTCGATAGTTTGATGGTTTTGAAAATTTCAGCCACCTTCCCATTTCCCGATGCGGTGTAAAACTCCTGTCCCGGAAGCTGCTTGAAATCCGCCTTCACATAAGTTTCGTCGTCCATGACGACTCAGTTGAACTTTGTGAGCAGATTCGTATACAGATTTCGGGACCGCTGCTTTGCCGACGTGTTTTGTTTGTAATCTCGGTTCGCCACCTTCACCTTCTTAAACTTCGACAACCCGACTCGTTTCTTGGCCCGCTGCACAGTAGTATGGGAGACATTGAGCTTGCCAGCGACGTCCCGGATGGAGAGGTTAGGATTCCGCCACCTTCTTCGTAATCGCTGCCACGTCCGGATTACGATTGCCGCCGTTTCCAGGCTTTCTGGTGGTCGACAGACACTCCCCAACACTTTTAAAACGTTTGTCACGGTCGATTTGGCCACATCCAGCAAATTTGCCAACTTGGCGTGTGAGAACGTCGGATTCTCTTGCTGTGCCAACGAAATTTTGACACGCTGCCCCTCTTGCTTGGACGTCATTTTGATAACTGGAGAGCAAACGGTGAAAACTCATCATAGCAACCATTGTTTATACACTCAACTTCCAGATGCTTCATTTCAGGTTTTTTTTATGTATTTTAACAGAAATACACCAATTTGAAGTTGACCAATTTTTGCGCGTTCCAGACTTTATTAACTGATACCAAGTATCATTGCAAGTTTTATCAAGATTTAACAGGTTTAACCTGCTTTTATCCTAGTATACATGTAATCTTACTAAACTAAATCTGTTAAAGTAGAAGAATCTGTGCCTAGGGGCACGAACAGAAACTTGACGCATCGGGTTTGATGCTTTATATTGTTCATCCCCCATCTGGTATCCCTCAAATGAATTGTTGCAGTGTTAAAAAAGGTCCCGAATGATTAGGCACTAATACTGTCAACGGGGCAATCTTGCTGTTGCTAGGATTCAATCAATCAAGACAAGTTTGTTACTTTTATTACTATTCAGATAATTGTTTCAACAAGCTACATACAAAACGGAATGGATATCAACAGTAAGGCCTGTAATTTCAAGGTTTGTTAAGGTAAGCAGGGTTGCTTCCACTCAATTGCTATAAAGGATTGTTTTTCGGGATTTTGAAATCATTAGAAGTTATAATGATATGTTTTCCTTGTAAGTCACATGAAGGGGTTGTAAAGTATTAGTTTGACTCATAAAACCTATCAATTTCGCTTCCAGAGCGTCACAATAAGCGATTTTATAATTCGTGAGTGTTCACTCAGAGTGAGCGCTCACGAATCGTAAACTCAGCAATTGTAACTCTCTGAAAGTAATATTAACAGGTTTTATGGGTTAAAAACACATACCTTACAACCAGAGTGCCTTCCATTCATTTTGGATAAAAAAATGTTTTATTAAATTATGGAATAATAAGATATTATAGTAGTATTTTGTTTGTGTAAGCAACAAGAAAAGACTGTGAAGTTTATGTTGAACACATAATACCTGCCATTTTTGCTACACGAGTGTCGCAATAAGCGATTTTGTCATTTATCTCACCCACTCTTCGCTCTTCACTCTTCGCGAAACGGCGATTAGAAAATCGCTCATTGTGACTCTGCCAAAGCTAAATTTGCAGTTTTTATGCGTCAAACACAAACATTACAATCTTTTCTTGTTACTTACACATACAAGATATCATTATAATATCTAATTATTCTATAATTTAATAAAACATTTTTAATGAATGCAAATGATTTTCCATGCCTGGCTTCGGTTTGTTTCGTTTGGTACCAACTATGTGATGGCTCTGTTAGGAAAGACACCTAATGGGAAGTTTTGATGCTTCCAATTTTAGTTAAATTTCTTAGTGTTTTAGTCATTTTCACTATTTGTACTAAATACCACAAAATTGCTGACTAACTACGCCGTGGAATGGCATATTGCATGACATGTTTCACATTAATGCTTTGGAGAAATATGCGATTGAAAACACCCCCTTCTTCGTTACATGCCTCATTTTCGATTTCTTAGTGTGACCCGCAGTATAGTTAAGAAAGACGTAGTCCTACGTCAATAAATGTTTTACGAATAAGGTTTGCCGCAAGAATGTTTATATCACATTTGCTATAATTTTAAAATTGATAACAAATGATAGGAGGCCCGCAATAAAAAAAAACAGAGCAGGGCCCCCAAGGATGGTAAAGACGGTTCTGGTTCAATAAGTTGCTCTTAAAGCGGGTGAACCAATGTCTTATTGGCGAAATTGTCCCATTTTCCCCTACCCAGAATCCATAGACCACATCAGAACATGATTTTGATGTTCTCGAGAAAATGGTCTGTATATTTAATTCGAATCGCACTGCATTCGGTTTCTATGAGCCGATAACGACTTTGGTTTGCAATTTTACAACTATGGAATGCAATATTACGGCTATCCATCGTGTTATTCGAGTTTTGGAGAAACGTCTTTCCGTATTGAAACGCGATTGAAAAGATTTCGCTTTATCAATAGCTGTTTAGTGTTATATTTTAGTTCATGGAGACAATTTGTCAGATGAATGAGTACAATAAAATGCAAATAAATATGCAAATACAAATACCAAAATCTATTATGAAGGAAATCAAATCGGGGCGATAGTCACATCCAGGAATGTCCCAGATGCTTCCAGAGAAGTAATCAAATACAGTCTAGAAGCAACACCTGCTCCGAAAAAAATAATTATGTTTTGATTTTTCTAAAAATATTGAATAAAGGTATCAAAAATCTAAAAAAAAATCTAATTTTTTCTAATTTTTCAAAGAAAATTCACGCGCAAAATCATTTTTTATAAGTCATTATGGCATAAAGTTGGACTTAAAAACCACAAAACATCAACTTTTCGGTTTTTCTGAGAGTCCAATTTTTTTTCATGATGAGATAGAAAAAATATTTTTACATGTAATTTTTGACAAAAATCTAAGGAAGAAACTAATTCTCTTGGATTTTTGATATTTTTTCCCAATATTTTTAGAAAAATAAAAACGTACAGAAAGTATTTTTTTATGTTCGGGCCGGTTAACTTCTCCTTAAGCATCTATATAGATATAAATATATTATAGAATTTCAGATAACTTATTTAAAAAAAAAAAAAAAAATTCAAAATATCTGATTTTTCGGAATTTTAAAAACTCATATTTTACAGATATATTAGTAACATCGACGTTTTGTCGAAATAATATAATATATATCACTATTATGGTTCTATTTTCATTAAAAGTAAATTTTACCATACTCTCACTGAAGTCAATTAACCAGGCCATACGATCCATACGATCCATACGATACATCAACTCTCTAATGGTGAGTACTGTCAGTAGTACAGACCAGAAAATTTAACATTAAATGCAGTTCTAGGAAATACTTAAATAGTTATTTGCAGAGATGAACTTACAGTATTTTTCTCACGTAAGATTTTTATGAATTTCCCCTCCCCCATCATAATAGATCGTAAGAAATTTGAAAACCTCATCCCCCACCTAAATGCTCAACAAAAATTATTGAATGACCCCATAGAAATTCAAATTTATTTTTAATTCTACACGTCTAAAATTCTATATATCGATGGTCCCTTCAATATCGAGTTATGGAGAGTTTACTGTATTTTAAAAATTAATCCATAATGTTCGACACTACAGTAAAATGAGATTCAATATAGTAGGATAAAGCAACTCTAGAAATTCGGAACACAAGCTTCCCCAATGTCCGATTAAAATCTGGTGATACCCATTTCCGTTTTCGCTACCGACAGAACGGTTTGCTTTTTTCTTCCGTTACCAAATTTGTAGATGACGCTTTTTTTTCTCGTTCGTAAGCTGTGATCCATGCACGCAACAAGCTCGGACATCAATCAGTGACCGGCACATTTTTTTTTTTCTTAATTTGTCGTATTCATTCATATACAGATGAATGCATTAATAAGCATGATCATAGTGCGGATGTCAAACCGGACTGGCCTGTAACCAAACAAACAAAAAATGCTACTCATAAGATTGTTCACGAGTTGTCTATACAAAAAAGGAGATAATGAGTATTATTACTAGCAGTTTGATGATATTTTGCGGCAGTGAGCCATGACCTGCCGTTCCTTAAATTACAAGCGGAATAAAGTGTTTATGATCATAGTGAAGAACTGTGTCACTTCGGTACTGACAACTACCGGAATCGTGATAAGAGTTACAATTAGCTAGATTACTAATGACTGCAAATCCGCTGGACTAAACGTTAATATTTTTGTTTATTTTCAGTTAATCGGACACAATTACAGCATGATTCCATCAACAAACCATCAAAACAAAAGACTTAAAGATCAGTCAAGAAGGCACGGGCTGCACCAAAGGGTTATCACTGCCGCTCCCATTGAGTATATCACGTCTTCAGTTCAGTTCGCTCCGTGCGCAGCGATGCGTCAGCTCGAAACGATTAAACCGAATCCATCAGATCCAACGGATTAGTAGGAATAACGCGTTTCCCATAACGTATACAAACATGTGTCACCTAACACGGCACACAGTAGCATTAGCTTAGGCTAACCGAAAGCACTTACAAATTGCTTTCAAAAAGTGCTGAGCAAATCTCGCGAAGAGCAGCTGCTCAATCATCCGGTGGAAGAACCCGAACAAAAGAACCAATCGGTGAGATTAATTAATCCGCTAACCTCGAACCGCTGGCTGTTTACACGAACACGCGATCCTCCTCGGTTGGAGGAGTGAGGTAAACCCTTTTTCGAAATCGAATGTCACTGTGTCACCTAACCTGCGCGAAAACGGAGATTATGCGGTGAACAGAACAAAGCTTCTCCTTCAGATAGTCAGTCATACGTTGAATGAGTTGCGGCAATCATGCAACGGCAACAAATCGTTCTTCCATCAGCAAGACTACGACAACGGCGATGATGGTGATGGTCGAAGTGTGCCCCGATTTGTCGCTGATTAGATAGCATTAGCTTACTACGATCGAAAAGGGGTTTATTAGTTTACATGCTGAGGCCTTAGAAGAAGTTAGTCGCTCTATCGGGGTTAAGGTTATGACTGTCGTTGCCCATGATCGGTGAGAGAAAATGGAGGCAAAAGTGAAATCAGCTCGAATAGTTCCGACGTCCAGCTCGGGGAACAATCTCCTGGCCACCGTATTTGGCGACAATGTGACCGGAACCGGAAGGAAAAGTGATGCATGGAGTGATAACGAACACGTGTCGGAAAAGGTCAACAAGGCACAGGAAGAAGACCCATCGGAACCGTTTATCGTGAAGGAGAGTGAGAGTGAGTCCAGTGTGGAAAGTGACCGACTATTCAAGAAGCCAAAAACTCGAATATATTCGATAGATTTGGAGCGTAATGTGCCAAAAGATAAGCGAGATAGGAAGATAAGGGGAAGTGTTTTAAGTACCAGTGAGTGTAGCACTACAAGCCATACTAGCAGCAGTGGAAGTGCCAATGAATGTAAACAAGATTCTCATTTTGACGCCAAACTAGTGGATAAGTTCGTTAGGACCAACCGGAAGCGACGGAAGCGGAAAGATGCCAAAACTGCCCTGGTCAAGTTATGCCAATGCTGTCCCTGGACCGTGCCATGGAGCCTGTTGGTGATTAGTGCAATACAGGTGAGTTGTTCTACTTCGTAATTCTGATTTTGATTTCATACGATTTTTACTTTGGGCACATTTCTCATACTTGGTTTATAGAATGTGAGGGACAAATACCTCCCCACCCCCCCCCCTTTTTAGTTTAGAACAAACACAAAATACAATACAGGCTATAATTCAAAAATGGATTCGGTTGATACAGATAACCCAAGCAACACGGCTTGTCATAAAGAAGTTGAAAATACTTTGTAATGACTAACGCAAAGAATCACTAATACTTTAATATACATCATTTAATACATTTATACAACCTAAAAAGCGCAAGACGCGGAGCTTATATAACTAAATACTGGTCTTATAACATGTTTTGAAAACATCATAAAAACAAGCGACTAAAAAAACAATAAAACAACTTGAGCATGGGATTCGGTCACTGGTCCTTGGCGTGGTAGACTTGTTATTACCTAACTAGACCAACACCGCTTGATGAAAGGTTTGTTATAAGTATCTATCATCTTCTTGCCAATGGCATGAAAATTATTTTCTCGTTCAACACGCCTTCGATCTGTCATGAAGACGTTTTGTTAGCTGCAAAGCGTACATTTTATTTCCAGAATGTTATTTAAACGTATTTTTACCTTCTTATAAGACAACCTGCACATTTTCAGTTGTATTAATTTATGAGATGTCATAAAAAAGTATTTTCAACTTTCTTTATAACAAACCTCCGAATACCTCATAAGAAACTGTCAATCACTGCATGAAGAGAGAGTCCGGCTCAATGGCACCGTCAATGTTTACGTAAATCTGGATTGATTTTGTATACGACATGTTTTATAGTGGTATTAAAACAGTAAGATGCACGTTCAAATAAAATTTAAAGATAAAAGCAAAAGAAAACTATTTTGGAAAATGTTGAATCAAAGAAGTATGAAGAAAACATCTTTAAACCTCATATATAACGTGGGATGTTTTCTGCATCTAGTAAGAGGTGGGACCATCATCATCATCTTATAATACATTTATACAACAAGCCGTTCTAAATCTTTTTCAAAAAGATGTTTTATGTGTTACTTGGGAATCGTTTTTTAGTGTTCATTCAAGGGCTCAGCAGCTCTATAAAATATGTAGAAAACTTTTTATTATTGTTTTTTTTTTGTGCCATCGCCTGTCCGAAAGATTATGACAAATACTAGACTAGACTAGATATAACTTTTTAAAGCCCGAGCTTTAAAATATTGAGATCCAGAAAATTGTTCATTTGAGAGCTCAAATTAACATTGTATTTTTTTTATTACGGGATAAAACATTTTTTAAAGATTTTAGGACATTTAAAAATGAGACTTAATATGTTTTAGTTCAGCTTCAGAGATGTGGAAAAATATCTGATAACTATTTAAAATGACATCCGATTTTTGCAACACGTCTCCAATGTCTTTAAATTGCTTCTACTTTGAACTTAAAACTCCCAAACAATGTTAAATAGACTTTCTGGTCAAATTTAAGTTTTAGATTTGATCGGACAATCACTTTTGCAATTATTTCAATATGTGGAAAGCTTTAAAGTCTAGTGTGATGCCCAAATAGAGCAGTTCCACGCCAAATGACGCCCAAACCTCGACCTTTTCCGATTTTCATGAAACTTTGCATAATTGTTTGTTATGGGCAATGATTCACATTTTTGCTAAAATTCGGCCACTTTGGATTTTGGAAAAAATTGTAGCATGGAAACTGGACTTCTGATTAAAATGACGCCTGAGATAAAGTTGTGATATTTTTTTGGGAAAAATACACAAAACATTTTTTTTTTGTAATTTTAAGTGAAATTCCATCAAGAGACGAACTAGCCAATGGCTGAAAATCTCTTTAATAAAATATCCTAACCTATTCTAAAAAATAAAAACAAAATAAAATCCTAAAAATCTCTTGTCAGATTTTTTAATTTTTTTAGAGATCACGAAAAATGCAAACCTGGGGCCTCCCCTAGCTCAGTCGGTAAAGGCGCAGCTACAAAGCAAGACCATGCTGGAGGTGACTGGGTTCGATTCCCGGTTCGGTCTAGGAATTTCTCGGGTTGGAAAATTTCTCGACTTCCCTGGGCATAGAAGTATGATTGGACTTGCCACACAATTATACCAATGCAAAAATGGTACAGGCATCGAAAGCTCTCAATTAATAACTGTGGAAGTGCATCTAGAACACTAAGTTGAGAGCACGCTATAAGCTAATATGCGATATGCAATAAGCTTGAAATGCGAAGAAGAAGAAGAAGAAGAAGAAGAAGAAAAATGCAAACTTGTAAAATGATCAGAATCATGGACACTTACAAATTGACAAAATTCATAACCGTTACTTTTAAAATTTTCGGGCGGGAGAGGTGTTCAATGTGTTCATGTTCAACATTTCAGATTTATAAAACAGAGTCTTTCCAGAATGCCAGGAAGCTTCTAAAAAGTCAAAATAAATTCGTAAAAGATAAAATATCATAGTTTATCTTTAACTATTTGTTTTGTATTACTTATGCGTGAAGTCCACGATTTACATAATTGAAGATGCTAATTTCAAATAACAGACTAAAGTGGTATTTTTATAAGATAGATGAGGAGATGAATGTATAGAGTTGATAGTTCCGTTACCACTATAAACAATTTTCACACTGCCGTAATCAAATTTAATGAAAAATGCAACCCTGGGTAATAAGCAACATATGAGCAAAGCTTTACTTAAATCGTAAGCAATCATGTCCAACCGGTTTGCTATCTGGCGTGAAAATGCATTGTGACATTGAAATGTTTTTCTATATCGCAAACTTTACTCTCTAGTGCCCAAATAATTTAATTTGTCATCAAATGCTGTGTCAATGATTGAAAAGATACATTATATTGGTACCAGTACACAGTTATTATTAAATGATTAGAAAAGGTGATTTTCAGTAATATAAATAAATTTAATTAAATAAATTTTACAGATTTGTCTGATATTTGTGTCTGAATTTCTTATTGAGTTCTAGTTTTAGATGGACAATTTTGATTAAAAATTCAGAAGTCGATCAAAATAATGCCCACCATTTTTTTTTTTTTCATTTTAGCTCGATGGCCTTTCGAAAGAAAATATGCTGAATTATCTCGTTTCGATATTTCGAACTTTGAATTTTCAGAAATATTCAAGATTACTATTATTTTTTTTGGATAATTTACTCGTTTGACTTAATTCTTTCTTATCCTAATCACATACGGCAAAATGGCATTCGGCTTAGTGATATTCAGCCTAATGATAAAACATTTACCCTCTCTACTTTATAACCTGTCTACGCCCTTGCTTTTTCGATGACTTTAGTGTGCATTTTGGAAAACTGCACAAGGTAAAAAGGTATCAAATTCCACCAAATGTTAAAACTTTTGGATACAGTCGATTTTTTTCCAATCAGTAAGACAGTAAGTAAAGCACTTAAAACCCTGGTCGATTTCATCAATATCTTAAGTAACGCGATTACATTAAGGATGATTTAGATTTCAAGTTTTGGAATTTGTTAAAAAATAATTAAGAAGCAACATTGTTTTCTTAAATTATAAAATCAATCTTTTGAAGAATATCATATATTTACTATAAATTGTGATAAGTTCATACTTTAAACCGTTTTTTTTTCGCTTGCCTATAGTGTAAACGGCAGTCTTCATGTAGCCATACCAAAGCCCATCAACATCTAACGCATCGCGGATTACCATTAGGCTAATCCTACTATGCATGAGTTTTGCCACCCCACCTGCAGGATATCTATGCAACCCACAAACGCGTTGCTGCAGGGAAGCCCCACAGGTAGCAAATCTCTGCAGTCGCTTACACCCTTCGAATCCTCGATGCACTGCTACAACTTGGCGCTGTCTTGGTCGACCAAGGTTCCTACTGAATTGTAGGTCAAATCAACAGGAACCAGCGTAAGCCATCCACCACTATTCCTACACTCAGCCTTCCTCCCGAATCGGTCTTCATATGCATTTATATTCAGCTGTCCGCGAAGGGCGTTCTTTGTGAAATAAATACCTTTTAGTTTAAATAAAAGCGATTGTTTCTTTACTTTACCGACAAATCTCGGTCATTTTCGTTTTTACAGGCAAATACATAGCCTACTTGGGTGGTGGCACCTCGCGCATATGTTTGTCGAGCCACCGTTCTTCATTTGGTCAGTCAGTGCGATTGACACAGTTTTACCGTGTGACACTAGAATGGAAATCGAAGCGACAAAAATCTGTATTGAATTTTTTTCTTTCACCCATTCTCCTCCTTCGTTGAGCCAAGTTTGAGGTGTATGTACATTACATCATACCGCTTCGCATAATTGACAAGAACGTGCACGGAACCGAAGTAGAAAAGTAAATTGATTTTGGCATGCGAAACGATGCCCGCCCATATGGCTCCTGCTGACGGCGGCGAGGAGACACAGGTGATATAGCAAATATTTACCTCAAACTGAACTTGTTGAGAGTACACAAAAAGCCGGATTGTTTTGTATATTTGCAATAGGAGCGGTCCGTAGTTATGGCGTTTTGTTTACATACCTATTCACATGCAACTTGATTCTTGACTTTACGCAGCGTGTGGCAGTTGAAGTGCATTTTGCAAATAAAAAACGTTTAGGAATACGTCGATAATTGACGAGATTTCACCTAGTGAATGGGTTGCATTATATTTGACACTTGAAACGATTCACTGCTCACGTCGCAGATATTAAAATGTCCCATTCGATTACATCTTGTCATCTTGATGAGAATTATTATGGGATAATTAGAACTTCGCACAGCTGATGTGACTGTATGGCACATCTTAAAAAGAAGAGAAATAATTCAGGGCTTACTCGAGAATAATCATAGATGACACACCGGCTAAAGTGGTGTTGTCCGCTGGGAATTAGGGGGATTGTATCTCAAGCCTTAGGATAAACTGTTTACCAGATTGCCAAATATCAGTATCAGTTACCCTCTCATTCGATGACAAGATAAAGATGGTCTATTTGATAGAGG